TCTCCCATATCCACGACTAAAACTGCTCCTCTATCGTCTGACCTCAGAACTATTTCCTCATTTCGTCTAATCTATTTGGTATTTCCGCACGTTTAGCAATTATAGGAACAACGTGTATTTCAATTTCACTTCCCGTTTCTACTAATAATCGGTCAGTGAAATAGTCTATGCACAAGAATGTATTAATCATTAAATGGATAATTGTTTTCAAGAGATAACTGTTTCATTTCACCTCTCTAACTCCTATTATACATTGATTTGGAAATCATATCCTTAATTTTTTAATAATGCTTTTTAATAAAATTCAGAAAAGAATCAGCCTATGCTGGCCTCCTGTAAACATGCCCTCATAGGCAAAATTCCGTTGCCAGCCTACTACTATTATCATGCTGATGAAGTAAAAATTTAAAAAATATCCGAACTATCTCAACCATTTAGGCAAGTGGAAAAATGACAGGTTTGAGATCATGAAGGTTTCTTTATTGTTCAATACGAAACTTTTCGCCAAAATCGGAACTAAGCCTACTTTTGCCTAATTAGCATAAAAGTCACGCTAGTTCGCTTAAGATGGTAAAAGATTGATCGCGAATTGTGTTTATGGTGCAGCTGAGTTTCACTTTACCGGGAAGCATACTCACCTTATTGTTTGATAATTAATGACCTTAAGCGGGCTAGTATGGCTAAAGCTCTTATTCAGGATCTATTGAGTCTCGAATTTCAACTCAATTCCAATATAAGTAGTACTAGTTTTGCAACAGCATTAGAAAAGAATAATAGATTATTATTTTTAAAGCAAGCCTGTGCACCCTATTTCCTCCAGTATTCCGTATTCTTGATTAAATTTAATCGAGCTTGTATCAATCAGGAATAGGGGGACTGAAGAAAATATGATGATGAAAAGTCAAAATCTGATTATCTTTTATTTAACAATTATTTACCTTGGCATGCGCATCAAGCAAGCACCTTTGCCCAATGAAGAAGCTACCCAGAAAACGAGAAAAATTAAAAAATTATAAATTATTATTCTTTTCAAATTCTGTTGTAAAACTAATATTACTTATATGTGAAATTTGGGGAACCTTTCTAAATCATTGTTTTACGTTTTTGCAATGTTTTCACATAACAAACAAGCTCAGTACTCAGTCAATGCACAAATCTACAAGCCAATTTACTAATATTTCCCTCGCTTTCCTTCATAAATGAAATTAAAAGTACAACAAACTTGTAGTTAAAGCATTGTTTTACATTAGGGCTAGAAGCGTTCTTGATTAAGAACTTAGTTATTTAAGGATTCATTGTTGCGTTTTCAGATTATGAGTAAACGCGACTACCCTTTCTTAACTCAATTTAGGCGGCTAAGGCTGACCAAGTGCTTAATTGAGCACTGTCAATAGTATCAAAAGTTGCTGATAACAAAAATTTACCCTTTTTGTTCATTGGTTTTAACTACGATATACGTGTTGACGCGAAGATGATACCTTTTGGAATGTATGATGCTGTGAATTGGTGGGCAAAATTAAGGCTTCTCATCAACTCCTCTTATAAAGTATCACTATCGGTTAATATAATACCGTTCAAACTTGGGGCAGCAACTGGTGAAGACAATTGGATTTCTGATACCTTTGCCCAACAGATTAGTAAAAGTACAAACAGAGTTCATGATATTTACGCGGAAGGTGTGATGAAGTGGTTTTATGTTCGATTCAACAAACAGATGACGATGAAAGAGTCGAATAAACTCATTTTCCTTACTTCTGGAGCAATCAATTTTCCTAACGCTCGACTGAGCAAGATGGAGTCCTGGCGAATGAAAAAGATCATAGCTTCTGTGTTGTTTATCTGAATCATTTTTTTAGTAACCTAGCTTATCATTGGCCCATTCAAAAAGTCCGAGGCATGGCGCTGGCCGAATTCATGGAGCTTAAACTATACCAGTGCTGAGCACTTGTTGTCATGGCGAGAAGAGCTTAATCAACATTTCTTAAATGTACGGCAGATGCCTTAGTCGAGTCGGCAAGCCTCGGTTTGCCTGGATCTGGCTCACTTTCTTCTCCACCTCTGCCTCTTCTAGCTTCTCTCCTGTAGTCCACTCCATTCTCGCAACCACCAGCACCAAATCCAATTTCCCCCATACACACACCACCTCCCCCCGACTCATCTTGTCCTGGTGGCAGATGAGATTGTCGCCCAAAAACCGGGCCCCCATCCATCCAATCCCAGAGTTTTCCGCTACATTTGGCAGGCCTGCCTTAGCCCTCGGTCGGTCGAGTCAGCAGAAGTTGGGTTAATTAAATCGTCACTGGGGCCTGAGCCGGTCTCAGTCGAGTTTCTGGGTCCTATTTCGTCAGGAGAGGTGGAGATGTGGCGATTTTGGTGGTCAAGGCGTCTCCAGGTGCCGAGATGACGGCACAACCAACCGATTAGAAAGGGGAGTAGAGGAGGCCTGGTGAGTTCGCCTCGTGACACAATGGTTTAAGAGATGACGTCAACAGATAGACTGAATGAAGAGGACACTTGTTGGTAAAAAAAAATAATACAAGTCTCAGGGGCTTGAAATGAACCGCGCTCGCTCGGCCGCGGCAATCAGTAACGACTGCGACTGGCCGTCTGTCTGTGTGTCTGTGTGCATGTGGGCAATCGCATGTTTGGGTGGGTGAATCGGTTAGGCCTTAGGAGATAGATCATTATACCAACAGGTCATGCGGCATACCAGACCCATGTTGGCAATTTGTTTATTTTCTGCTTTCATGTGCTGGTCGAATTGGGATTAGTCGGAGCCCAGGCTTGACAATCTCTTTCTTTACTGATTCCGGCCGTCTCATATGCTCTCTCGTCTGACCGCGAATGATTAGCTCAATTGACCATTTGAGGGCATTAAGAAAAGGCCATTTTATCGTGCTGGTAACCAGTAGTAGACAATCGCATGGGTTCAAATGAGCCTCCACCCCTTCGTCTCTATTCGCCCGGTCAGACTGGCCTGGCTTCACGCCTTGAGCCAGCATTTTTCACTGACCCGGCATGATTTGTGCTCATCCTAGATCGCATCAACTGCCGAATGACTGATAATTGAATGGTCTCACAAATAAATGAATAAGCCTGATGATACCCTTGAATTTCGCCCAGCCCGACCTCCCAAGAAGTGTCTTTATTCAGGCTAGACTACAGTTTCGGCCACCCGGCGGGACTCGAGCCCGGCACATGCAGGCAGCCACAGGTGCCATTGCGTCACAGGGCTAATGTAACAGTCAGGGAAATTCTTACATCTTATTTGTCACTGCCTGTATTCATAATAACTGGGACTCGATACTAGCGCTGGAGATTAAATAAAAATCCGTATTCGTTTCCTGTCGAGCTGCTGATGAGACCCAGATGAGGTCAAAATCGTAGCCCAGCCAGAATGAGAAAACCTAAGGGAAGTTCAATGGCATTGTATCTCTTATGAAGAAAAGTTGGCTGGATGGAATTGGTAAAATGGTCTCATCGGGAACCGAGCAAGAATTCCCGTTGAATGGAGACTATTTGATCATGCGAATAAGTTTTCGGCTTAATGTTCTGCGACTCCGACCTCCTCCATTTCTTCGGATTATTGCATTTTGTTCGTCTTTTCCTAAAGTATAGTCTCTCGCTCTGGCAATGTCCGTCAACTCGAGGGCACATTGAGGTCGCGGGACAGTGAACCGAGGAATTTTTTTGCACAATCCAACAGTATTCACTCCTTGCCGGTTTCCGGTTAGACCATTTCACGAATTTCTTTCAATTAACTTTTTCTTCAAAATGAAAATAAATGTCACAATATTGCAAATCTGATTCATCTAGTCACGAGAAAAGCTTCACTATCTCTCATTGAATTATCTCAATCGACTTGGAAAGACAAAGGCCTTATTCAAGAATCGCTCTTAGTCTGCAAATATACTTTAGAGTAAATAAGAACAATTTGAAACTATGAGAAAACCAGGAATAAGTGTTCCAACCATCCTAGGAGGCAATATGTAACGAGGGCATAATGGTTGAATTTCCCATTGCTTTACAAAAGGTATTCCCATCGAGAAAAGAGTGGCTGCAGTTTCGACATCGAAGGGCTCCTTAAGGTCATCGTTTATACATCAGCGAATTTTCTGCCTGACTTTCCTAAATAATATATTTACGTATCTTCAGTTTTCAGCTGTCTCCTGTCATAAATTACAATCAAAATAATCCATTAAATAGTTTAATAGTTCGCACAAGTGATAAAATAACCGAGCTAATTTTTTCTTTAGAATAATCTTTACAAAGAAATTATAAATCGACCACAAAAGGTATTTCAACCTAATCAATTTCTACTTTCATTTCTATTTCTATTTTTCTGCTTCCGTCCGGTATTTATTTCTCTTTTGACCCCGAACACAACTAGAATATACCTGCTCTAGGGCAATCTTTACGAATGAATGTTTGATCTACCAGAAGAAAATTACATTTGATGACATCCATGCCTGGCCACAGTTATATATATTTGTAAGACATATTTCTCCCTTCCTGGTAAGTATCACTCAGTGGGTCCGTCAACAGTGATCTAACTATATCGATGAGAATTCACATCAAAATAGGATTCGAATCCATAAGTAAATCTTCG